GAATTGTAATGAATTTACACAAATATATCTGATAGAATTTAGCCTGAAACATGCAGTAATGTGCAAAAATAAATAACGTTTTTAATAAAACAAATCAAATTACTTTGTGTGGGAAAGAGAATGTTTCAACATTTCTGCGTTTCCCATTAGTCTCTCTTGGATCATGGAAAAAATGTAAACTTCAGAGACCAAAAGTTCTTGGGCTACTTTAACTCTGTGTGAGTTTCTATTCCACATGGAGTTCAGTGTCTTTCTCCTATTCCTGTACTTGCTTATGGTATGTTATAACGTTTACCAGTCATTGACCAATACTTCTGTTCTGGCATCTTAAATGGGCATGGCCTTTTCTGCTCAATGTTTGTGTAAGCAGGCATTGTCAGAATAGCTAAAGAATGCAGTAAATGCTACTGCTGCCATAACCAGAAGCTCCATGGCTACAGTGAGTCAGTTTAGTAGGAGTTACAAGTCTTGTTAGTAAACTGCTAGAAAATATTTCCACAGGAAGAGCTTCATTATCTGGTTTGGACTGTGTCTCTGAAGAAGCAGTTTCTAGGCCATAGTTCTTTCTAAACAGTATTTAATGATTAACATATTACATTAATAGGTATTACAGTTTTATTAAAGCAACTTACAGATCTGAACTGACAATCTGATGAAGGTAACTATTTTATTTTGTATATTCCTGGACATTATATGGCAACAGCAGCAAAGATTCAAACAAATAATTACTTGTGATAATGCTTTTACTCTTACTAGTAAAAAAGACAAATAAATTGACTTTAAAATTCCAAAAGAAAGTGGAAATTCAATATTTAATATAAAAATCAATTAAAACATCTGAATTGGTATCACTCTGGCAGTTTAACTCAGATAAAAACATATTGCTGTTTTTCTCTACAATTATTAAGTAGAAAACTTTTAAGATTATATAAATATGTTAGCAAGGGAAAAGTTAATCCTTTTGGAACAAAAGTTTCATCCATAATAATGTTGTGTTTAAACTTTAACTTGTGTATACCCGAAATTGGACTTACATTTACAAATACAAATCTACAAGTAAACAGCAAATTTTATGAATGACTTTTTATTAGCCAAACCGATCATTTTATAGAAACAAGCCAAAGTATATATACATATACATGTATGTTTGTGTTCACATACACACATTTGCATTAAAGTGTTCCCAGAATTGTTACTGGAATCTTGTTCCTTAATGTACCCTAAATCTGTATTTGCTCATTTGAAACCATGAAATTTATCTTTTTTAAAGTAGTGCATTATAGAATACACACAAAAAAAAGAAGGACACTGCTCTCACAATGCTCCACAGAAGTTTTCATGTCCTCAGTTTCTGAAACATTTAAGATTATTAAGTTGCCGGCAGGCTCCTGAGGAATTTTAAAGCATCTGTGCCTGTGCTACTTATTTTAAGCTCTGTCTTCCACTGTTATGAAATCAGCAAATTCCCTTGACTTTCCTAGTAATTCCATTTCACGTGGTTCTGGCTTTCAGGCAGACTCAAGAATGACATAACCGTCTTTCCCTACGGACTGTTGCCATGGGTTACACCCTTCTGAGTAATGTGCAATATGAATCTTTGGCTGGTCCCATATGCCCATAAATGGAAGAAAGCCCAGCAAAGGTGACTAAAACACAGTTTCTTGGCTTTCTGTCAGTCACCACCATAGGTAGAGTAAAGCTTTGGGTTTCTTCCTGTCGGTTAGTATTACTTGGGCTACAGTGCAGGAATGTCAGTCCAACGTCACGCTGTTTTAAAAGGAAGTGAACTGATTTCCCAATGAACTTTACTCCTGTTACTGAAGGGAGAGCAGATATCTTGAATGTAGTAGCAGCAAATTAACAAGTTCTGCAAAGTGCTTCTTTTATATATTTTTTTTACACTGGAGCGTTTATACAAATAAACTCAAAAAGTAAAGAATTCTTCATTTTTGTGAAAAACCACAGTTCTTGGCTAGTATGCACTCATAAGCACTATCGCAATCATACTTTGTCTTATTAACAATGCTGGATTCAAGTACCAAGCTCCACAGCAACAGCATAAACACTATGGAGAAAAGGCACTTTCTGGAGCTCGTTATCAACACTGGAGAATTAGAAGCAATTTACAGTCTAGTTCCACTGCCCAATTTCACAAAGCCTCTCCTGACTTCCCTGAAGACTATAAGAGTGTTTCTATGCATAAGAAATACAGCATGTTAACACAGCATAGAAAGCACGGCTTCCAGCTACGCATAGTGCAACACTAGGGTGCCATTGTAAGGTGCAAGCAGGATGCAGAATGCCTCACCCTCAGTTGTTCAGAGAAAGAAGTATTCCCTCGCCCTTGGAAAGTGTCATGTGTGCAGCAATGGCACAGCTCAGCCTGCCTTGGCCATTCACTCTGGACTCACTGGTGCCTGCAGCAGCTCTGAGAAGACAGTGCCTTTATGTGCCTGTCTGGTCCATACTGGGCAGCACAGAGAGATGTAGCTATCCTTCTCCTTGTACTTTTTAGTAAGTCTAGATGTTGTTTCACCCTGTAAATTAGCCTTAATGACAACTTGATCTGTATGCCTCTGCCACCAAAAATGTCTAGTAAAAAACACTATTCATTTCCTAAGGACATTCATTTGCAGGATTTGTCTCCAGAATATCTTCTCTTCACAGTTATGATTTTCATGCTTGGTCAAATTTTTAAGTAAGGACTGCACAGCATCATGGCTATTTGAACCTCTTAAACTCAGGACTACCAAAAGACATTGCTCCAGGTCAGCTTCAGGGCAATTACTTACTAGCTGGCAATTACACTGCTACTTTCAGTTCAGTTCAGCTGGCACTGAACTGCCAGGCAAATAAAAAAGGATGTATCATGCTCAAGGAAACACTAGTCCATGTCCAGAAGAAATAGAGAACAATGCATCAAGTTATTACCATAGAAATAAATTACCTAACCAGAAAAGATAAAACAGTCTTGATTTCTTTCTCTTCTTGGGCAATGAGTCAATTCTGGAAAAAAATACAACTGGGCAGTGTGAGGCAATGACTTGGCATCAAGATGTGCAGTCCAAAGATAGAAGAGGGGAAGATACAAGGCAGAGCTCTCATGGGACTTTTTTTCATGATCAGGTACACTCTTGTATCCTCGCTTGGCCCTCATTGAAGTTCAAAGCAGCTGAGAGTCGTGCCTTTCTCTTACTCCCAGCAGTGTGTAATAATCCATTTGCATAGGTATCTAGCAGGAAGAAAACTGTGAGATAGGCTAAAGAACGAGACAAATTGATCGTAATGGTCATCAAAAAGTGAAATTTTCTGCAAGACAAATTCCATGTGAAATGGATCCAGCTGATTATTTCTTTCTCTAGGCTCTGTTCACAGTGCAAGCTATGGTAATACTTTTGTTTCTGTGATAGAAATTACCTGGCTAATAAATTACAACATTTTAAGAAAGGAATAACATGAAAATCCTATAAAATTCTACTCTGGTGCTATTAAAGAGTCCAAGGCACTCTAAAACATGTCCTCTCAAGGCAATAGTTAAGTTCTAGGAATTTTTTACAAATTTATCTGCCTTTAAAGAAAGATTATTTAGATGGCCATGCTGTTAAAATTTTACTAAGTATTTTAACTCTGCCTATAATGAGATCTATGTCTTCTAGTAATGCAATTATTGTTAATAGCTGTTCTGATACTAAGAAAGAAAATCTGTTTCAGCTGCAGTGGAACTGCAGTTATTTAAAACATTAAATTCACCCATCCACATTAACATCGACACAAAACATTTTAGTTTCTCATTAATACCATTCCACAAGCATTTTAAAAAGTATTTTAAAATCTTATACACTCTATATTTTTTTACTATATATAAAGACACATGTAGCTATGAAAGTATTCAACTTCTGCCATTACCTCATGGCAAGAACATAATAGCTATTTCTCCAGAAAGACAGTAAGAGTATTTCTAAACAGATAGGTAAAAGGTATATGTCATGATAGACTGTATCAGTTGGTATTTGATTTCTGGAACAGATGGAGGTTAAGAATCCAAAATGCTTATCCAACCTTCTCTAACTACCTTACTTGCAGCAATATTGGGGTGAGTCATTAGCTAGAATCATCCCCCTGCAGTGGTCAATCTTAATGGAAAAACAGCCTGAATTGCTGGCTAGAGCTGAGTAAGCAGCACAAATGTTTTATGTGTGGAGTTTAGATCTACTCATGTCCTTAGTAGGTCTGCTTTTGGATAACATTCTAAAAAAATATCAACAAGAATGTTGCAAATACAAAACGTACACTTATTTAGCAGCATATTCACACAAGGCTAAAGCTGAATTTCTTTTTTAAAACTAGTGGTGGTAAAGGACAATTCTGTGAGTAAATCAATAGACAGTTAATCAATAGGGAGAACATCCATCCGTACATCCAAACAACCTGTACTGAAAACAGTACATTGTAATGAGCAGCTCATGACAAATTGTACTCCATACTGGACAGGTAAGAATTTGGTCAAATTAATTATTACTGTTAAAGCCATGTCGTTCTCACTGTTTTAAATTTCCCTCATGTCCAGTGCAAACACTCCTACGTTGAAGAGTGAAATTCAATCCTCTGATTTCAAAGATCAAAATAAAATAAAACAAAAGCCTTTGGAAATGTTGGCATTTTAGTATTCATAATCAACAAAAAACCAAAACAAATTCCTGTACTAGATGTGTTTCAGCAAGCAGATGACTGTTTTCATCAATGTATTAAGCACTTACAAATCTCTGTTCCCATTCAAATTTGCAATAAAACTTTTACTGACTTGAACAAGGCAAGTAAGAGTAATCCAGCTTCATGTACTGAAAATCCCATTGCTAATTTTCAAACAGTTTAACAGAAGTGATCATGGTTATTACATTATTTATTGTATCATTTGGTTATTTTTCATTTCATTTCACTGGTGACATAGAAGAGACTGCACTGAGTTGAGCTGCAGCTGACATCTGAATGTTGCTTTTAAACCATGTAAGATTTCTTATTTAAAAATAAACTTTAAATTTTGGGGGAAGAAAAATTAAATAAGCCTACGAAATAAATTAATTTTACTGTCAGTTTTTGGTTCATACAAATTTTTTTAAAGACTCTCAGATAGAAACAAGACTGCTTCATTCATTCATGGGCAATACTTTGGCTCCATGTGCATTTATATAAGTAAGAAGAATTTTGGACCTTCTTTCTATTACATCAATAAGCTTTTCAATTCCATTCCTGCCTCCTTGGCTCTCCCAGTATATTTTGTCAAGGAACAAAGACTGTAGCAGCTTCTCACGTAAACGCTGGCTCCTCAGCACTGAAACTGCAGATTCAGGGAATCTGGAAAAGCACAAAGAAATTCATCAGCTTTGCCGTCACTCTGAATTGCAATATTTATGTTATGGTTTCGCAATCAATTCTATGAATATAGACTGCAATTCAGCAAAGGAAGTCCATGCCTAATGATATACATGTTAATTGTATCTTTTACAGCAGTGGGATTACTCAGACACTTTTAGACACATCCTGTAAATGTCTTAGGCCAATGATATCTATTTCAGTAACTTAGTGTGTCTCCTGCTCAAACTGGGAAGAAATTATCAATCTTTTTATAAAATTAATAACTTAAAACTTACTCATTGATTCCTTGCAGTATTTTGAAGTCAAGATTGTCCTCGTTTCTGTCAAAGAAACCCTTATTGCCTATAAAGACCAAGTGCCTTCGGTCATGGTGTCTCTGAACTATGTGTGTAAGGTCAACAGCATCCTGATCACTACATTTCAGCTTCAGTCCTTGCTGCATGCAGGAATCCTCCCTGAGAGGTTCAAATCCACAGCAGTTTCTGTCTAGTCGACTATAGATCTAAAACAAAGTACAGCAGAATGCCAAGTGAAAACAATACCAAAGTATTTGGGGCAAAGTGTCACTGTGAGACATTGCTCACTAACACAGCTGACAGGAAAACAAGCTCAGGATAAGTACAATTAAAGTCAGCAGTGAAATGGCAAGAAGACCTGGTCCCAGTACTTCACGTATTGTCAGAAGAAATTTCTCAGATTGTATTTCATCCATGCTATAGCCATGATTTCTATGTCAGTAGAAATTCTTTGGAAATAGTAGAACAATACCACTGCATAACTGGAATAAAAAGATGGTGAATGCAATTCTGTTTTTTTCCAGAAGGCTGTAGTTTTTTTACATTTTCTCTGCTGGAGAACAATAGAAATAGCACAGCCTGACACACACAGAGAGGATCTCCATTTTGCAGGACCTATCAGACTAATAGCATGCAAAATAATTGAAAATCTTAGTAAGGGGCACAGCAAACCACCAGAAGCTACAAAATGCAAGAGTACATTTATAGTCACAGAGCAGAATCCCTGAGTTACACTGTGGTATACACTTTAATGACATGAGAAGTTAGGCTATTTTTTCCTGTGTGAACCCTAGCCTGTTCATTGCACAGCACTTAACAGGAAGGAATACATCTGGTCTAACTTTAGTGGCGTAAATGTTAAGCATCTCTTCTGACTTAGTTGTTTATGTTCTCTTTCATAAACAATGACAAGAGCAAGGCACCCCCAGAGCAAAGGATGCCATTTTAGGATAACCATCTAATACAGGAAGAATAAATCACTCCTTGAACGTGCTTTTACCCTTGTTGATGAGATGGGAGCAAATACACAACACTGCCCTGAGCACACAGACAGGCTTTAACTGCCCTAAGCAGCCTCACCTGGGACCACCACACACATCCCCTCTGTCAATGGGCCCAGGAGCCCCATTTAAGTTCAGGCCTGGAATTGCATTCATCCTCTGAGCCTCTGGGAGAGGGAGAGTAGTGTCTGCTGCTTGTCCTGCTACCTGATGCTACTGGATTCCTGCTTGGGATTCCTGCTTCTTGGACTTGGAGCTGGCTTGCTGCCTTGTCTGTGCCTGATGCTCACTGGGCTATCAATGGAACTGTAGCTTTCCTTCCTATTGGGTTGCTTCTCCTGTTGCTGACCCTGCGTGTCCTGCCTGCTGTCTCAGGCTCCAGCTCCTGCTGGCAGGTGCTTACAAAGTGTAAGACTGGTCCAGTACATCTAAGTCTTCATTAGTAGCTTAGCAAAGGTAAATAATTCTTTCTGTCCTTGTTTGCTGTATGTAAACTCTTCAAACTGTTCTTAGCATAAAAGCATTAATGTTCACGTAAGACCTCTAAAACTGCACTTTTACTTTTTTGACTAAGAAAGTGTTAGGACTCTTCTGCTGATGTAGAACTATACTGCAAGTTGAAAAGGTCTCTTAATTTTGTTCATCAAATGGAAGTCTGAGAGCTGTTTTGGTTTTTTCTTAAGGATGCTGTGCTATTGCTACCAGTCTTGTTAGCAGTGTTTGTTTTCAGAAGTGAAAATCCTGAGGAAACAAACAGATTCCACTTCCTTTTTCTTCCTTCATGAGCAGCATTCAGCATCTGCAGGTACCAGAGCCCTTCCTGCTTGCAGTGTCTTAGCTCATGGGATCTCATTCAACTCATCCAGAGGCTTTGCCAAAAAGTGAAGCAGAGTCCTTCTAGATGCTCTTCTGAGGTATAGCCCTAATCCAGTTGCACCACACTTCTTCAGATGCATTAAACAGATGAGGATATGAGCAGACCATGTTCTTACAAACAGCCACTTTATAGTCTCTTGCATCATCCCGTGTTAAGACAGAATGATGGAAACTCTGGAACTGATGCTGCAACCTTAATGTTTTGCCATTAGTTTTTGTCATATACTTATGTACATGAGAGGTCCAAACTTTTGATGTCCTTACTTCACTTGAGTTCTTGCAGAAGGCAAGTAAAAGTCAGCTATAAGCATTTTTCAGCCTGCTCCCATGTTTTATATTTGAAACCAGAGATTAGAAACATCAATTACAGGTATCAAACTTATTCTTCTCAGGGAAGTTGAACAGAGAATACTTTTCATCATTATTCTTTATTTCTGAATGACTCAAGAAACACAGATGAATTTTATTTTATTTTATTTTTTCTTCCAGCTCAGAACCCCTTCTTGGCATTTTGTTTTGGGGTTGGTTTTTTTTTTACAGTCTTTATAGAATCATAGAATGGTTTGGGTTGGACCTCCCACTAGACCATGTCACCCAAGGCTCTGTCCAACCTGGCTTTGAACCCTGCTGGGAATGGAGCATTTACCACTTCTTTGGGCAACCTGTTCCAGTGCCTCACCACCCTCACAGTAAAGAACTTCTTCCTAACCTGAACTTCCCCTATTTATGTATGAACCATTCTGCTTGTTCTACCACTACAGTCCCTGATGAAGAGTCCTTCTCCTGCATCCCTGTAGGCCCCCCATGTTATATTGCTGATAAACTTTAAAGCTAAATCTGAAACCCAAGTAAAATTTTAACCTTTAAGAAACGTAAGACTCACTTTCTGGTATGCAACTGGAGGTATGAATCACACTGATACCAGCTACTATTACAAGTGTATTGTTTTTCTGTCAGGTAAAGCTCAATCCTGCTGGTGTACAGTTCAATCCTGTTGTATAATATTTTAATGTTCCTTCTGGATATTAGCAGATTAAAAACTTGTCTTAAAAGACCCTAAATCAACACAGAACTCATGAGAATCTTTAAACTGTTCAAAAAGAAGACAAGGCATGAAAACATTAACTCTGACACAATCTGTATTATTCCTATGGGGCATTACTATGTTTAGTATCAGAATAATCTACATATGACTTTATACTTGTTTCTAAGAATCATTTGCTCATAGTGGGATTAAAGATGGAGCCACTAGACAAGTGACAATCTATTTTTAGAGAAGAATCAAATGTTCTGTTTAACATAACAAGTCTGCAGAAATGTAACTCAAAAATTTGGAAACATCCATTTGCCCTAGAAGAAGGAATGAGAAGGACAGGGATAGGCTATGCATAAGTCATGGGTTTTGTTTCAAGAAATGCAACTGTATAAAAAGCTGATTTATATGAACATCCAAACAAGCACGTAGATCTAGTGCTAGCTGCAGTTTTAAATAAACCAGTAAGTGCTGCAGGAGGCTCAGTCATCTGAACCTGTCTAACAGGTAAGGACAATTGGAAGTAGTGCCATATCTCAGGAAGACACAAAATTAGCTTCCAAGCAGGTGTTCAGTTCAATCATTATTATTACAGGGAGTGTATTAATACTTTGCTTATTGCTGTAACTGTAGCCACACATGATACTACAGGACAGAGCCCTAGACAGGTGTTATTTGGAGAGCTAGTAATTATGTGCCATAAGCAACTGAAGAACAGCAGCCATAGCATTCATCAATTGCTGCTCTACTCTTTCGTAAGTCACTGGTTGTATTTCTAAAAGGAAGGAAAATTAGACACTATAACTGTTATCTTGATCCAGATTTCAGCTGACCAAAACCACTTAAATGACCTCAGGGGATTGGGGAGGGGCAGGAAGCACCACACAGCAGAAAGAGGTTTACAGTGGTGAACACAGTCACAACCTGTATTTGGAGAGATTAAGGAGTCAAGAACAGTATGCCTGCCTCAAGGTGAAGTAACATAAAGCAAAGTAAAGCAAAGACAAAAGCCTTTGCTTCCTTTTTTTAGAATGTGAGTCAGTCAAGCTCCTGATCTCTTTCCC